CAACTTAAGACGAGGTAGGACTACAACCTACCACGAACTACCCCAGCAGAATTCTGGGAGTTGAAGTCCACCTGTCTTAAAGTTGCCAACTTTCAGAAACACTGGATTAGAACATGCACAATAGCAGGGAAGGAGAAAAGGAATGGAAGCATACAATTATAACATTCTATAATTAAAGCAGATCACAGATTATTTTCCCAGATTCACATTGTTTTTTTTTCCCCCTTCTGTTATAGAGTACAGTCAGCCCTTTATGTATAGCAACTTTGCTTCCCCCCTCTGTGGGACTGTAAGACTAAAAATCTAAAGTATATTCTGAACACACACACAATCAATTCAGTAAAGAGTCTGGTTTGCTATGATTCTGCGATCGCCCCCATTAAGGTGGCCGAGAAAGGGAGGGCTTTGATTCAATCCTTCCTTTCCTTTTCACATTTAAAAGGAATTTCTGAAATGCCATTGTTCCCTCCCCAGCAAAGATGTGGTTACGGACAGCACCAATCTCTCGAGCATGAAGGCAACGCAGGTAAACCGACGTTGTTTTGCTGGCTGATCTTCCTAGCAACAAGGCGCACACAATTCTTGATGAGGATTTATTTTAGCTCCACCAACTGTTCAGTGTATGCCTGGTGCTAGACTTTTTTTTTCCATGACAGCTTTTTAGAAGCTTAACAGCAACCCACAGCAGGATTTCCCCGGCAGATTTGACTCTTGCTCTGCCCAGGACACATAGTCACTTTTGGTGGCCGAGAAGAATTCAGAGGCCTGAAGAGAATCCATCGGTTTGGCCCAGCCTTATATTTAACCCCCAAGATGCTACCTTACACATTGCCTCTATCACCAGAGTTGCCTGCCACGCTAAGCTGTGATTTGTTGATCAAGCTGTGGTTTAGTTAAATCTGGAGGTCTGTTGCACCCCTAAACTAGAGGAGCCAAGGTTGAAGAAAGACCTGGTTTAAGAAAGCATTCAAGTCAAGTATTTCAACTCAGACATAGGCATCTGTCTTTTTCATGATAAATTCTGCACCAAGGAAAGTTCTCCTCTCTGGTGGCACTTATAGACTTATTAAAAGGCCTTTCCTTTTTTTCTGTTTCTTTTGAAGACCCTAGTGTTGGTTTTAGAAGTCCTTGGTTGAGAAAGGGCCCGTCAATTAACTCCAATTTGGGGCACCTTGAGGGTAGGATGGCTTGGCTTCACTAAGAGAACCAAGGTTAGGGTTAGCTGAAGGGGGACTGTGGTTGGAGCTAAAACTAGCAATGGGTGGGGCCAGAAACAAAAGGGGTGGGGTTTGTTGCAAATGGCTGCTAGGCCAGCAAGTCATCGTTGTGAGTAGAAAGGGCAGAGAAGGCTCTGGCATACACACAGAGACACACACATACCTAGGACTAAGGTGTCTGGTGATCCTTTCTGTCAGTTGGCACACAGCCATCAGACCGATGCCCACAAAGTCCAGGCAGCACCAGTGCCCTTGCAGGCCTGGTGAGAATGAATTATTGCAAGACCAACATCACCAGAAGTGTCTCGGTGGAAGCCCTCGGTGAGGAAATTCTGCACAAGGAAGCATTACTCCTGTGCACCACATAATTCAGTGTTTCTCGACTTTGGCCACTTGAAGATGGGTGGACTTCAACTCCCAGAATTGCCCAGCCAGCCCAGCCAGCTCACGAGTATCCTTGAGGCAAGCAGCCATCCCATTATCACTAGAGACCGCTGCATGAAGCAACTTTCAAACTCTGACATAGCACTGAAGCTTTCATATTTGGCC